ATGTAAAACTGGTGGATAATTTATCAGTTCAATTTAAGGTATTACTTGAAGACAACATTAGATTATGTCAGCTTGGTTAATGTGTAAAATGGTAAAGAATTTCTCAGTTCCACTCAAGGTGACACATGAAATCAAAGTTAGATTGTTATGATGTTGATTTGGGGTTAGTAAAGACAAACGCCAAATAACATGTAACAATAAAAAGGGGTTTATTAGGTTTGTAAGTAGGTACAGAAATCGCCTGAGTAGTCTATAACTAGCTCAGCCAAGAACTTCTCCGACCTCTGTCTGTCTTTTGATATGCCACTATTTAATGTCTTTGTTTGTAGACAAGTTCATCTTCAAGAGGGGTGGTAGATTTCCTACACAACATAGATAATATCAACCAGGATAATGTGCACAATTGTCAAAGTATATATCACTTCTATTCAAGGCAGGAGATGAAGACAAATTTAGACAATATTGGCTCAGATAATATATACAATTGGAGTATTTATTAGTTTCATTCTAGTCAGGATGCAAAGACAAAATTATATAATGTCAGCTTGGACAATGTTTACAATTGTTAGAGAATATATTAGTTTCATTCAAGTTAAGACATGAAGAAAAATTACATAATGTCAGCTTGTATAATGTGTGCAATTGCTGGAGAATTTATCACTTCCATTCAAGGTAGGATTTGGAATCTAAGTTGTTTCATTCTCTTGAAATAGAATTCTTAATTTGCCTGTGCAATTTCAAGATATTCATGTCTGGATGAAAGAATAAATTAGGCATCACTAATTTCTGAAGTCTTTGTCTCAAGTTTGAGGAATTATTCTTAGATTTCATTCTGTAAATAATCAAAAATAATTAATATTAGAATTGGATAGTTCTGAGTCTTTTCATTTGAATGCTATGAACATTTCTAATATTGTATGTCATTAAGTGTTTGACTTTATTTCATTTCTTATATCTTGAAAGAAATAAAAATATATTGAATTTTCAATAATTTCAAATGCATGTTGATGTATCTGATAGATAGTGTTGACGGGGTTTCATTCAAGTATCTGATATATAGTGGTAGCGGGGAGGGGGATTGATACGGCTGACATTTATTCATGTTTTGTAGGTTTTGGAATTAATATATATGTGTATATATATATATATATATATATATATATATATATATATATATATATATATATATATATATATATATATATATATATTTCTGAAGAAGTAATGAATTTTAAAATATTAATCTGACAGACTTTATCATACTTTATCATATAAATGTTCTAATTTTTAGTACATACTCATATTTAAGTAGACACTTCATTTATTTATTAAATAGTATATTTATTTTTGTCTATCAGCCTAAATATTCAAGAAGTCATATTAAAGAAAAACATGTGCAGTATTTGTTTGGGTTTTCGGCTCAATATGGCACTGGTAATCATGTGATCAATTGTGAATGTTGTGATCATTAAGACTATTAAGAGGGCCATGTCCTTGTATGTTGATGACATATTTGTCAATTAAATTGTATGCACTGCGGCACATGTAAGAGCACATCTTCAGCAATCCAGACTAACATGTAAGAATATTTGATCTGTGTCAAAGAACATGAAAGAAATAAGAAACTTTATTCAGTAATAAAGGAAGCTAACAATTTCAAAAGCAGTGGGTGACGAAGTTTAATTAAACCAAAAATACACATATTGCAGTGTCAAAGAACATAAAAAAGAAAACAAAAGCAAGTGCAGTGAACCAAATACAAAATCAATGGCAAGATAAGCATTTAGAGAGTGGCACCTGCATGCTGAGATTGCATGTCTGGGAGGAGTGGGGTAAATTGCAATGGAGTCACAGGAATGACCTCTGACCGCTGCCTAATGTGCTCACTTGTCGAAGTATCTTCTCCCTGGGTGGGGAGTTGACTGGACATTTGCCAGTATGCGGCATCGCAACTGCATTCATAAAATGGTGTGCAAACTCTGTGATGACTGGCTGGGATGATGGGGTTTGGGACCCATCCCTAACTTGGATACTGACGGACATCATTACCAGATTGGCACAGAAGAAAATCCGGCACAAGGTGATTGGTACATTGATGGATGTGAAGTCACCATGTGGGTTGATGCATGTTCCTTAGCCATTAGCGTTATTATGGTTGAAGATGCCTGTTGGCTGTGATCAGAATGGGAAGACAAGCATATCAACTGGGCAGAGCTTGGCATGATCTTGAGAAGCATCAACATGGCACTGCAATGGAGAGTGACTGTAGTTCACCTAAAGACCAACTTGATGTGTGTGCATCAATGGGTTTCTGATACATTATTTGAAAAGTCTTGAGTGTGCACAAAGGTGGCGACAAAAATTTTAATAAGACGTCAGCTAAGCACAATCGAGAAACTGGTAGAGGAATACAAAATGAGTATTGTCAGATCTCATGCAAACCGAGCTGATCAACTCACCAGAGGGCCTCAAAATTGGTTGGATGTGGTTTGGAAAGAAACAGAACCAGTGTGCACTGCATCTATAGAAGAGCAGGAATCAATCCATATTCAAGCCATCCATCAATGTAGTGGGCATCCTAGTGTGAAGCACACCTTGCATTTTGTAAGACAGATCCACACTGAGGTCTTAAAGACAGACTCAAGTGGTGGTTGGAGAGCATGGTGTGCCAATCCAGTGACCTGGTGCCGGTGTATTGGGAAGCTAGACTCCCCGGCAGATCGCACACAAAACACGAACTTACACGTCAAGCCATTTTTGGGGTGCCCTTGCTGCGTACAAAGGTTGCGAGCGAGATGCTCATTTGAAGGAGGCTAGACACACTGGGAAAGTTGGTAAGTGAATACCACTTATCCGTAGACATACAGCTGGTCAGATCACAGCAGAACAAGGCCGATACTTTAACTACCCCAAAAATGGCTTGACGTGTAAGCATTCTCAAAGCAAATTTGTGGCTTTCACAACACAAAGAAAGAAAATCACTTGTAACACGTCAGGAAAATAACTCATGTTGGCTGGCGCAGTTGAGGGCGATACAATGTTACTCTGAGAGACAATAATGTATCGCTTCCCTCAACTGCGCCAGCCAACATGAGTTATTTTCCTGACGGTTACAAGTGATTTTCTTTCTTTGTGTTGTGAAAGCCACAAATTTGCTTTGAGAACGCTTACACGGGCGAGACAGTAGATGTATATTTGGCAATCCCTTCCCGGTAGATCGCACACAAAACACGAACTTTTTTCCGGGGTACTTGATTATCTCGTTCACTACAATGTCCAATGGAAAGGACAATATCATGAAGTCAAGCAGATTCTAGCAAGCCTTTGGCAAGAATTGGTGATCCTGAAAAAGAATTCTTTGCCATTTAATATGCATAACATTTGTATAATCTACTTCATTGTCCCAACAAGAAAGCTTATTGGGGTTAAAATATAGTATAATGTGGTTGAGCCTCAGTGTCTATTCTCCCAGGCACTACCTCTCTATCTAGAATTAATCACTGGCACATGAGGTGACCCCAAAATGCAAAGGGCTTAAGTTCCAGAAACATGTGTGACTCCCTTTTTTAAACCAGCATTGTTTTAACTTTGGTATACTGTTTAATATAGTTGGTATGCAAATATAGCTGCTGAAAAAACCATCAAACGTCAGTCAGTTATGTTCCATGATACACACTTAGGCAATCATGTATCTTTCAATACATGATGGATAAGGAAGATTTTTCCCGCAGTAGGTTGCCATTTCTTTCTGCAGTAGACCAGTTGTCATCCAAGGCTAGAGAACCTGGTATGTTCTTCTATTTACCCATAGCTAGTGGGGGGGGAAGAGGATTCACACCTTTCTTAAGGGTATTAGCATGTAAGTGAATGTAATGGATCCAGCTGGAATTCGAACTCAGCTCTCTGATTCCTCAATCTAAGCCGCTATCCATTACTCCACCATGCCTCCATCAAATGTAGTATTGAATAAAATACAATCCATTTGGCATTCCAAATAGAGACAGGTAGAATATCTTTCACATTGCTAAGAACAGATTCACCAAATGTAAATGTTAGGACAGATGTCATAACAAGGGAGCTCACTTGCTCCCTAAATGGAAACCAAGTTATGCCCCTTGATAAGAACTCTCTAGGACAACAAAGAAGTAAAGTGGATTCAAGATGGTGGTCATGCTTTCTCTCTATCAGGAACTATTAATCCACTTGTAATCCACTAGTCATGCTTTACATCAATTGTTATCAAATAATAAATGTATAAAAGTTCAAATTGTGCATTTGTTCTTATTTGACATAGTTAGGTATATGAGCACACACCATGACCACAACAATAAAGAAAGAGACAAAGCCAGAACATTATGTTGAATATGGGTAAGTTGAAACAAGGTCCTTGTATACAGCATGTCTACACACAATCAATAAGAGATATCTGTGGAATAGATAAAAAAAGGTTGGTTTCAAATCCACATTATTTATTATTACTGCCATCCTATAAGATGAAAATAACCAAATATTACATTGTAGCTGATGCATTGATATTATGGATAGGAGGTTAACTACTGTAGCTCAAACTGCATAGCTCTTCACTTTTGATGCTTTGTCTTTTCTCTTTAGTGCCCTTAAACTAAAGTTTACTTTACCATTTCTATTATACATGCATTTCCTTGTTCTCTTGAGATTACTGGAACTTTTTAGAAACTTTTTTCTGCTTCTGAGTTAGTCAGAAATGAAGAAAAGTTTGGGGAAAGTCTTCAGGACTTACTGACAGATTTCACAGACTTATTCCCTGGGCCATTAGCAGTAGCCACTTTCAATTTACAAAGTAATCAGGCCATTTCTTCACCACACCCTGCTAACTGTTCTGGCACCCCCAGAATTTTGCATTTGACTCGATCTCTGCCGATTCCAAGCAGCAGAATCAGGCACTTAATTTGGTGAAATTGTTGTAGAATTAGATGCTCGAAATGGATACAAGAATTGGAAAAAGGACGAAGAAGAATATCTCAGAATGAATAAATAATTGAAGAATAGTAGAAATAGGGGAGGGGATGATTGAATATAGCAAAAATAGATTGACAAATATTTGCAATATGTAGATGGATGAAAAAAAGAAATATTGAAAAGAAAGAAAGAGAAAAGGTAGGGGGGAAAAGAGCATAAAGAAAGAAGTGGTGAAAAGTGAAGAAAATGAGAGAGGGGAGAAAAAAATGACAGAAAAGGAAATATGGGAAAAGAAAGATAAGCAAGAAAGATAAACAAAAGAAGAGAAGCCAATACAGAATAAAAGACAGAAATAAAAGAAGAAAAGCAAAGAAAGAAAGAATAGAAGAGAAGAGAAGGAAATATAGAAAGAAACAAACAAATATAAAATAGAAGCAAATTTGGAATAACATGAAAGAAAGAAAGAAAGAAAGAAAGAAAGGAAGGAAGGAAGGAAGGAAGGAAGGAAGAACAAATGAACAAAGAGAATAGAAGCAAATATGGAAAGAAAGTAGAAAAAAGAGAATATGGAAGTAAAAAAAGAAAGAATATAGAAACAAATATAGAATAATATGAAAGGAAGGAAAGGAAGAAATAAAGAAAGAACAGAATAGAAATAAATATGGAAAGAAAGATAGAAAAGAGAGAAGAGAAGAAAAGAAAGAAAGAAAAATAGAAAGAAAGAAGAGAATAGAAGCAAATAAATAAAGAAAGAAAAATGCAGAAACAAAGTAAGTACAAACAAATACTACAAGAAAGAAAGAAAGAAAGAAAGAAAGAAAGAAAGAAAGAAAGAAATAGATGAATCTACAGAAAGAAAGAAATAGAGGCAAATGCAGAAAGAAAGTAAGAAAAAAGAAAGACTAGAAGAAGAAAACAGAGGCAAACATGGAAAGAGAGGAAAAAGTTTAGGGAAAGGACAAAAGAAAGAAAAAATTATGAATAATTACTAAAAAAGAAAGAAGAGAAAGATAAAAAGAAATGAAGAAGAAAAATAAGACATTGCAGAAAGTTTGGCAAATTTATTAGAATAATAAATAATTTGAGGAAAATGAAGATTTTGAAGGAAAAATAATAAAATGTGAAGTTTAAAGGAGGAGAAAAGGAATGGAAATGATTTTAAAACAGAAAGAAAACAAAGAAAGGATTGAAATAGAAGAAAGAAGAAATGGAAAGATAAGGAAGGCAAGCAAAGGAATAAAAAAAGAAAAAAGAGAAGAAAAAGTGAAAAAAAGAAAATTTAATTAAAATAATAAACAGTGATAGGAAGTCAAAAGTATAACTGAAATTAAGAGTGAAGAGTAAAAAATGAAGGAAAAAGATGAAAGAAAAAAAAATGAGACAGAAAAATGGAAAAAAGTAGAGAAAAAGAAGGGCAAAAAGAAACTGAAAGAAAAAGAATGAAGAAAGGAAAGAACCAAAAGGGAAGGAAAAGAATATGAAAGAAAAAGAATGAAGAAAGGAAAGAACCAAAAGAGAAGGAAAAGAATATGAAAGAAAAAGAATGAAGAGAAGAAAAAAAGTGAAAGAGAAAGGAGTGAAAGAAAAAGAAATTGAAATAAGAAAAAAGTAATTGAAAAACCATTTGATAAAGTATGTCACAAAGAAAAAAAAACCAAGTTGAACAGAAATTCAGAATGAAAAGAAAGAAACAGAAATGGACAGAAGATTGTAATTTGAAGATTGATAGGAAAAATGAGAAGAAAGAGAGAATACAGAATAAATTAAACAAAGAAAATGTAAAAGAATGGAATGAATCAAGAAGGAAAAAAAATGTTATAAAATATTATGGTAAATAAATTGATTGAGAGAGAAATGCAAAGGCTAGTGGGAAATATGATGGAAGGAGTTTGAAAATTACATTTTCTTTTCTTTCCCCTTGGCAAATTAGAATCTCATTTAAGAAGATAAGTGAAGGCATAAGATTAGGGAGAAAGTCATAATAATAATAATAATAAAAAGTAGGAGTATAATAATAAAAGTAATAATGCAAAGAAGTATCAATTATAATAATAATAATAATGATAATAATAATAATAGAAGTAAAAAATGAAGTGATTGAATAAATGAAATAATAATAATAATAATAACAATAATAATATCAGCCATGAACACTTTGGCTGTCCCTGTGGTGCAATACAGTTTCAACATCTTTAATTGGACCACAGCTGACATCAAGCAAATGAATGTCAAAATGAGAAAGTTTCTCACTTGCCACTGCATGCATCATCAAGGTTGATGTTGATCATCTGTATGTGCCCAAATCCGAAGGAGGCAGAGGATTAGTTCAACTAGAACTGTCTTCCAAAATCACAACAATTCATCTTCAAAGATACCTGGAAACTACAGAAGACTGGTTGATGATCCATGTCAAAGAACATGAAAGAAATAAGAAACTTTATTCAGTAATAAAGGAAACTAACAATTTCAAAAGCAAATTTCAAGTGGGTGAAGAAGTTTAATTAAACCAAAATACACATATTGCAGTGTCAAAGAACATAAAAAAGAAAGCAAAAGCAAATGCAGTGAACCAAATAAAAAATCAATGGCAAGATAAGCTTCTTCAGTGCCAATATTCTGCCCAAACCAAAAAAGTAGATGTAGACAAACGCCATACCCATCAGTGGTTATGTAGTGCCAGGTTAAAAACTGAAGCCAAAGGTTTTATTTTTGCTGCACGGGACCAATGTTTGCTAACTAAAAATTACCAAGCACATATACTGAAAAACTATGTTAACCCAAATGCAGATTCTGTGATAAATATCCAGAAACAGTTGACCATCTTGTACCAGGTTGACCAGCGTTAGCACCCACTGAATATAAAACTCAGTATGATAGAGTGGGCCAATATCTTCACTGGAAAATATGCAACTTTCCATCCTCTGTTAGAACACTTCCCAGATATTTAATTTTTTTGTAATTGTTTGATTTTACTATCCCAAATTTGTAATTTGCATTTTGGGATCATCGTTTTGCTGATAACCATCCATTCTGTCTTTTTGTATTTTATTCTTCACCCTTTCTTTTCTTTCTTTCTTTCTGTAGGAGTTTTTGTAGTTTTTTTCCGTGTTTGCTATCAATACTGTGTCATCTGCATATCTGATGTTGTTAAAGAAGATAATAATAACAAGATTAACAATCATAAAGATCACAAAGACTGACTTATTAAAAACTAGCCTAAAAACCACACTCCATGCAGACTTTTGAGCTAGCTCCTGACTTCTGGTTCAGCTTAGAAAACAGCAATGATAATTTTGAAGAAATAACTTTGAATTCCTCAGTTCACTGTATCGAACTTCAAAACCTCACTTTAACTCTGATTTGGGCTGTAAGTTCAATTCTGGCCAAAAAACTGATTTAGGCCAAAAGTCCTGTTTGGGTTGAAACTCTGATTCGGGCAGTAAGTTCAATTCTAGCCAAAAAACTGATTTGGGCTGAAAGTCCTGTTTGGGCTGAAATTCTGATTTGGGCCGTAAGTTCAATTCTAGCCAAAAAACTGATTTGGGCTGAAAGTCCTGGTTGGGCTGAAAGTCCTGTTTGGGCTGAAATTCTGATTTGGGCCGTAAGTTCAATTCTAGCCAAAAAACTGATTTGGGCTGAAAGTCCTGTTTGGGCTGCAAGTCCTGTTTGGGCTGAAAGTCCTGTTTGGGCCGTAAGTTCAATTCTAGCCAAAAAACTGATTTGGGCTGAAAGTCCTGTTTGGGATGAAAGTCCTGTTTGGGCTGAAACTCTGATTCAGGCCATAACTTCAATTCTGGCCAAAAAACTGATTTGGGCTGAAACTCTGATTTGGGCCAAGATTCCAATTCAGGATGAATATTAAGTTGAGTTCATCAAATCGCAAACTCTTCAAAACTTCAAAACCTCACATCACAAAACCTTTCACTTTAACTCTGATTTCTTGGAATTTTTAAAGAAATAAAATTGATTTCCTCGATACACAAAGTATTGGAGATACTTTAAACTGAATTTACAATAATAAATTTAAATTCACAAATTTTTTGTGTTACTTTAATCTCAGTATAAATTAAAAACTGTTAAAATCATTAAATTTTTCAGTTATTTTGAAATTTGAATTTTTAACTGTTCTCTCCCCATCTGGATACAAACACCAATGTTGGATGTTCAAACACTAGATAAAGGAAAGATTTTCAATACCAAGTTCATCCTGATTTCAAAAAGGTATAATATGTCTGGAGGCAGTGGGTGGAAGTAGTACCTTTGTTGTTAGCTGCTGCACATTATTGTTATTAAGGTGGACAGGCAACACTTCATCCATCCCTTAAATTTCTTACATGTTGGCACCACATGTCACAACCTGGTAAACTGCTTCAGCAAGTGGGCTAAACCACTTGAGGGGGTAGTTTTTGAAGTGCACTACTGAAAGCTGATGATCTGCACAAATGGACAATGGCTGGACAATGAACTCAATATGCACAGACTGAAGTTGATCCACATCATGTTAGTGGTTTCAGCTGTCAGCCAAGGACTTGGAGAAGAAATGGTTGCCACTAAGTTATCTAGAAGTCCACTGAAATGATTATGAAGCAAAACATGGCTTCTGCATTTGGATCCTCCCTGTGTTTACAAAGGTCAAGGAGAGATAATGATGATGACAATGATGACAACATGTCTATGTAGATCAAGTGTGGCCTGAGTTAGAGGTGTTTCAGATACATGGATGGACAGACAGAATTTACTATTTATTTAGAAGTAAAAAATAATGAAATAGTAATAATAAAACAGAGTAAAAAGAATGAACTATATCAAACCAAAACAGACATAGAAAATTTTGACTGTACATAGATATAATATAATCAAAGAAGTCAGTAAATTAACTCAAGACAGAAATTATTGAGAATGGCAAAAGAGAAATTGTCTAGGAAATTGAAATTGAAATAATCCAATACAGATGAGTAGATTTTGTTTCCTGACCTGGATTAAAAAATCTGTATGAATCTCACAAGACCCATAGAATTTCTTTTCTTCAAGACAGCTTCTGGACTCAACTTGTATGACTTTTCTGTGTAATTAAATCCAACTTGACCAAATTCCCAGGGGATTAACATTTCCACCTCATTGATGAGCTGATGGCGTTGAAATGTTTTCAGGCCAATCAAGAAAGGATTTAAAGAAAATATTCTGATGTTTGGTCATTTATACAGATTTGAGTCAGACCAAGACGATTTCCTGATCTTACCAGACTGGAGGGGTTGATCCCGGCATCCGGCAACTTTTGAAAGTGCTTGAAAACCATACCATGAGTTGACCCAAGCCTTGTGAGTGAAATTGGGTAGACAGAACGCTGTGCTAGCACAAAGTCACAAGTCATTGTGGCCAAGGGTTTGAGTGTACTTGCCTTGTTCAAATTGTAGATCATGCTAGATAACAAGCTCTTTCCTGGAAACTGTAACTAAGGTCTGCTCAGCATAGTTGCAGTATAAATCACAGATTGCCTCTGTGGGTGTTGAACAAGCACAAATGTACCTGAGCCAACATCTGCAATAAGGATTAGCTAGTCACCTTAGTAGATGAGTATACTCGAATACGAATAGCCAGCTATACTGCTGTACACTCCCGTTGTTTTCCATGTATGAGGGTCAAGAAGCTCAGTTCTTAGAACAGTCAGACTACCTGCACATATCATTTGATTATAATGGTGAAGGCTTGTGCAGCATTTTGGAAGAGCCGAATACAAAGAACTGGTGCACAAATATCCCCAAATGACCCTCCATGGATTGTGAATTGAGAATTTTCCTTCACCTAGACTGTTCGCCACCCAAGGCTATAGGATTGAGTCTGTCCTTCTATTCCCCCATATCTGGGGGAAGAGAGGGATTCATACTTTTTCCAAGGGTATTAGCATGTAAGTGAATGTAATGAACTCAACTGATTCTTTAATCTGAGCTGCTATCCATTAATCCACTGTGTATATATGTCTGTAAAGGGTGTTTCATTAAGACGGATTATATATAAGGGTGTTGCATTAAGACGGATTATATGTAAGGGTGTTTCATTAAGACGGATTTTATATAAGGGTGTTTCATTAAGACGGATTATATATAATGGTGTTTCATTAAGACGGATCAAAGTCAGCAGTAAATAAATCAGTGTTGTTGGTGAAAATTTCTTTATTTCTCTATTGGATCATGTTATTTAAGTCATGGTAATTATGTGTGAAAAATAATATCGCCCAAATGTCTGCCAAATCTAAAAGAAAAACAAAAAAATCATTAGACGCTTAAACTTAATTCACATTAAAATCAGTTCAAGTTATTGAAACACCCTTTATTAATAATGTGTACTTTAGGAGCAATAATTCTTTCACACATGTTTGGTTAAATATTACTATCAAATTTTTTATTCAATTATTTAAATTTGATAAAATATTTGATAGACAGAACTTGTTGATATTATTTACCTAAATGTTTATATATATATATATATATATATATATATATATATTATAAATTAATTGATTTAAAATATGTTTTGAGGGGAGGAGGAGGATGACGACGATGATGATGATTTCGGCAGCAATACCTACTTCATAATATTATTTGAGAATAAAAGAAATGGTTTCTT